CCCATACAAAAGTACCCAAAAATCGATTTTTCAACTTCCGACGAATAATGCTAGCGTCTCCGAACAGCACTATTCATGGGACCAATTGCAATCGACAGCACTATTCGAGCACTATTTTTTACATGTTATGGTTTACCAGCACTATTTCCGGGCGGTGCTGATGACATGTACCTCAAAAATAGTGCGAAAAGTCGACATTTCATCACTTGGGGAGCCATAACTTTGCAACTGTACATCATAGGTGAATCGTATTGGCCCTATTTTTCAGCTATGAACATAAGCTTTAGTGTAGCATACATTAGAAACTGAAATATGACCGCTGTCATGTCTTAATTTGGCCAAATGTCCACCAAACGCTCAAAAATTGGTCCAAAACTCGAAATATCCCTACAAATGAGCGATTTTTTCCACTAAACTAGCTTAAAAACAAGTCCGTATTATCCGTGGAGACACTTTAATAAAAATCCAAGCGAAAAATATGGAAATATATACAGCTATTTGCATGTAATAAGCCAAAATACTCAACAGGATAACCATTTTTGGTACCAAAGAGTGATTTTGAGCCAAAAAGGTAGATAGAACATGATTTTTCTGGGTTAGTATGTTGAGCAAAGTTGTGCATTTTAACGTTGACTACAAAATTGATGAATACAAAGGCCATAAAAATTGGATACGCTGCGAATTATGGTTAAAAAATGGTAAAAAATGGGCACTTTTTTTGGGTAAGTATGTTTTTCATTTTTTTCCTCCCATTCAATACCTACAACTTTGCCCAAGACACAAAAACAATATTCCCTACGGTTTACCGAGATATAGCCGTCTCAAAATATCGAAAAAGTGCTCAAAATCCAGTTTGAGCAAAAAATACATAATTTCATTAAAATTCACCAATGAACCAACTTGGCAAAACGAATGATGCAGAAATTCTAGTTTTGGTAAGTACTTTCAGCAGCGATTATCAAAAGTGAGTCCCTCCTCCATGACCGAAAAAATGTTGCACAGTGTATTTAACGGGTATTGAACGCGGCCCATCCATTTCAAAATATGTTGTTATGATAATATGCTTCTCGCTGAGACCTTTCCAACAAGCCCAAGGACGTCAAGGACCATCCGTTGATGAGTTATGGCGATTTGAACATTTTCTTTGGCGTCTCCACCAATTATTCTAAGACGATAGTTCTGTCTGCGTGCGTGTTTGTCCGTTGTTTTTCTCCGATCTTTTTCAAACTTTCAGGCATTGAACTATATCAAAAACTAAGACTTTTTTGTTCCGCCACTTTTTCATTTGGCCGCCATCTTGGCCTTGGCCGGCCTTTGAAAATCTAAAGCTTTCCTTCCAATGGCCACTGTGCCAACCCACTTCATCGATTTCAAACTTTTGGGTATCGTTGGAAAGGTCTCAAAGCTAGCTATCGAATAACACCTATTTTAAGCGGAAAAAATTCAGTTGACGTGGTCCTATGAGCCAAAAAATGGTCATCTGGCCTTACATAATTCGATCATTTTCTCGAAAACGGCTCCTAAGATTTTTTAGAAATTAGAAAAAACATGAAAAATCACAAAAAATGACGAAAAGTCATTTTTCTGGCGTAAATGCGGGCGCCAGTGTGGTTAAATATCGATAAAAATTAATTTTGCGTTGATATCAATGAAATTTCTTAAGATGTTTATCCTTCAAAAAACCTTTTTATATTATAATATCAATTATAATTGCCGAAAATTAAACTATTTCTTGGGATATCAAATTTATTGCGTTCATAATAAAATGTGTGAAAGAACATGGACTGGCTGTTAATTTCGTTGGAAAGTTCTATAACAAAACAACTGATATCAAATAAAAAACTTCATGAAAGTCAATTCTCGTGCTGAAAGCGAACGCAACACTTGTTATATCAATTTTGAAAAATAATTTCGGAGCGATTTTATTTTGCATTAATCCAAACTAGGTTAGATAGAACAACATCGCTCCGAAATGATTTTTCAAAATTGATATCACAAGTTTCGCGTTCGCTTTCGGCACGAGAATTAACTTCAGTAAAGTTTTTATTTGATTCAGAATTACGTGAATTCAATAATTGTTCTATAATTCTCGTCTTAGTCGATGAAAGAATTATAAATTATTCATCGCTTTTCACTTTGCACAGATTCATAAAAAAATCTTGAAAATGGCAGACTTCGTTGAATGGCTATAAATCCAAATTGTCAATATGATATGATAAGTGGAAATACTTTTTACCTCAGTGCGTTGCTGCAAACGTTTATTAAGCTCATGTACTCTAAATTCTGTAGAATTATAAAACGTATTATGTCTTCTAGGTACGCTTTGTAAGGCTCTAAAAGGAAGAATATAACATAAAAATGATTAGGTAAGTTCGGAAATTTATCATGGAAAGAAATCTATGTATTATGGATCTTGTAGAGTGTGCACAGACCCTTGTTCCATTCTATCTATTGGCTGTGGACCAGCCATCATGTGACCTCCAATTTGAGCCATTGGATTATGAGGAAAAGGTGAATTTGATGGCATTCCAAATTGAAATGTACCTAGAAATCAGAATGATTTTAGTTGAAAAAAAAAATGAAGCGAATACATTTTATGAACATGAAGAAAATTACCGGATGGTGAAGCAAAATGTGGCGATCCAAATGATGGTCCAGAGCTACTTGGTCGACCGAAAGGTGGAGCATTAGATGACCTTAAAGGATCAACTGGAAAAGAATTTCAGTTATCTATTTGTCATTGAAATGAACTGTTTCGAAAAATAAATTCCCTCAGAATATTTGAGAATTGAATCGAAGCATGGCATTTGTCTACCAACAAAGAGCAAACGCAAGTTTTTGAACCAAAGTGACACAAAGCAAAAGTGAAAAACAAAGTGTAACATAAAAATTCATGTTGCAGTTTAACCCTCTGATCGGTTGTTGCGTTTACACCTTAACTTCGTTTCATGGGGCGTACAGCACCCCAAGTGAATTTTGTATGAAAACTTGATTGTAATATGAGATAGCGACTTAGTGTCTTTGACAAAGTTGTAGAACTTAACCCGTTCTACAACTTTGCCGACGACACATATTGCTTATCTCTTATCAGTTCCGCGAAATACGCGAAAAACCGCGAAAACGTGAATTTTCGGCTCCTCATTTTTCACGGAATTGACAAGATATAAATGATGAGTGCCTTCAGCAAAGATGTAGAGCAAGTCAAGTACTACAATTTTTTGAAGACACCATCTCCTTATCTCTTATCAGTTCCGCGGAAAATGATGAGGGAAAATTCGCGTTTTTCGCGATTTTTCGCGTAACTGATAAGAGATAACGAATTGGTGTCTTCGGCAAAGTTGTAGTATTCAGCCGGCACTACAAATTTGCCGAAAACAGATATCGCTTATCTCTTATCAGTTACGCAATATACGCGAAAAACCGCGAAAGATCTCGCACCATATGGGGTTTTTCATAATTTTTTTTTGCTTGACTGATAAGAGATAAGTGACATCTGTTTTCAGCAAAGTTGTACAGGACCACAAGTACTACAATTTTCCACATGCTTTATTTCGTTATCTCTTATCAGTTAAGCGGAAAATCGCGGAAAACGCGAAAAATCCATTTATCACTGAACTGATAAGAGATAATGACTTGGTTTCTTGAGCAAAGTTGTAGAACTCAATCAATTATCTCTTATCAGTTCAGTGATAAATGGAAAACCGTGTATTTGCGTTTTTGCGGTATTTTGCGGAACTGATAAGAGATAAGCGATATCTGTCTTTAGTAAAGATGTAGAGGACCTCTAGTACTACATATTTGCCGAAGACATTAAATCGTTATCTCTTATCACAGTCCAGTTTTCATGAAAAAATACACTTGGGGCGTCGTACGCCCCATGAAACGAACGCGCGCACATGTGTTGTGGGAGGCAATATCTCACACATTCTTGCACATATGCACATGAAATTTCACTGACGTATAGCTAAAGGTTCAAGCTATCGAATGGTACCTATTTCAATATGATTTTTTCGTTTTTTGGTACTTTTATTCGAGGTTCAAAGTCGCCTCGGGCGTTGTACACCCGACAAACGATCAGAGGGTTAAAGCCGAAACTTGCTTTGTGGCACTTTGTTTCTCAAATTGGTGTTGTTTCTCTTTGAAATTAATTTCGGGCAAGATTCAGTCTGTATCAAAACTATGATAAGTTGGTAAGGAAGTCGAATTTCGATGTGGCGATAACACCAATGGATTGGGCACATTGGATACTGTACAAGAATCGAAGGAAAATTCAAATTTTTTTTTTCGATATTCGGCTGTATTACAAACTTCCCATGTAGATGCGACCGTCAGGCTGACAGCGCCATACGAAAATCGAAAAAAAAGTTTAATTTTTTTTATTCTTGTACAGTATTCAATGTTCCCAATCCATTGATGTTATCGCCACATCGAAATTCGCACTCCTTATCAACTTATCATAGTTTTGAAACAGACTGCATCATGCCCGAAATTAATTTCAAAGAGAAACAACACCAATTTGAGAAACAAAGTGCCACAAAGCAAGTTTCGGCTTTAAACTGCAACATGAATTTTTATGTTACACTTTGTTTCTCACATTTGCTTTGTGTCGCTTTGGTTCAAAAGCTTGCGTTGTTGCTCTTTGTTCGTAGAAAATGCCTTACTTCGATTCAATTCTCAAATATTCTGCGGGAATTTTTTTTCGCTACGGTTCAAACGAAAGACAGACAAAATCCATGTTGTGAAGCTTCTTTTGCACAACATGGGATAGAGGAAACCGGGAAGAATTAGCGCAACTTTCATATCTTGAAATGGGCGATATAAATTATATATATATATATATATA